TATTTCAAGTAACATGGACAGAGCTAAAAATCCTGTCTTCCTTACTAAGACGGATGGAACTCTGTGAAATTATGAGCCCCAACAAATGATAGTCTTAAAGATATCTTTAAGATATACCTTAAAAGGTATTTTTTTTCAAACATTGATCAAAGCCACACAAATAACTAATACGGAAATAAAAAAAACAGCTAGTATTGGAGAAAAGGAAGATTCCACCTAGATGTTGTAGGTGGCTACTTGTTTGTTCCCAGCTGCTTAGCCTTAAAATAATCACACAGAAACCAAATTGTTTGCAACATTGTTTGGCCAATAGCTTAAGTAATTGCTGGCTAACTTATATCTTAAATTAACCAATCTCCATTAATCTGTGTATTGCCATGAGGCTGTGGCTTACTGGGTAAAGTTCCAGTGCCTGTCTTCTTTCAGCATTCAGTTTAGTTTCCCTTGCCTGGCTAGTTCTTCCCAATCAGATCAAGCCAATTTCTTTATTCATTAACCAAATAAAAGCAGCACATAAAAAGAAGAACCTCGCACACCACCTACAGACCTACTCAATGTGACTAGAGGCTGTGAAAGGAAAAGTGAATTTGACTTTATTCAGGGGAGGTTGAGAGTGTCTTATGTGTAGAGGAACAGTAGAACAGATGACTGAGATTGAAAAAACAAACACACAACCACACAGTAGAATAACCTGCCCCATGATCTGATCACCGAAAGTCTTGGCAGTCCGTTTCAAAAATACAGCCTCACCTACAGTTACCTATGTTCATATGAAATGATTTAGCTTGAGATTGAGGGTGACATATGTCATCTACATTTCTGCTAAAACTCAAGTTATTTTTAGACTCTTCTGGTCTATTTCTACAGTAATCTTTATTCAGATAAGACTAAAGCATTGAATTAACTCAGGTGTGGAACTGGCTTTAGTAACTAGAGAGTGTGGATTATGAATACCAAGTGTAGTTAGAATTTTTTCCTGCTTTTCACATTACTTTTTTGTATTGTTTGATAGTTGTTTATATTAATTTTATTGAGCGATACATTTTTTCCTCTGATACCCTCTCTTCCTCTCCCCTACCCTTCAAAGCTCTCTCATTGTTCCCATGCTCCCAGTTTTTTCTCGGAAGATCTTGTCTTTGTCTACTTCCCATGTAGATCTAATTGGAAATAATGTATATTGTCCTTGAGATGGAGAACTAAAGTTCCACGAAGAGAGAATTAAGTGGGAAGTCCACTCTGTCAATCAACAAAGACATTTGGATTGATTGAAAACACAGTTATTATTGCAGTAAATTATTTGTAGATAAAGTAAAAAAAAATTTTGATCAGTGTTTCTCATTTAATGATGATAATTAAGCTTATTAATTGTTTGCAATTTCATCTTCACAGTAAGTTATACATTTTCAGTGGGAAGAGTGCATGTTCTGGGTGGTGTTGAAAATATGTGAATTTTCTGAAGTTCATTTATGAGAATTTGATGGCTCTGTTACAAGTATCGGTGTTATTAGAGAATTATGTATCTATACATGCAGTGGAAATACATACAATGAGTCTGAAGTGAATTGTCATGATAGAAAGATCTGGGTATAAAATAATTCAAGGCAAGATGAGTTGGTCATTATTGAAACAACAGAGTTAAGCTTAGAGTACACCAAGAATGTCTCCCTTGCTGTTAATTGTTTTATCTACTTGTTTGGTAATCCTCCTTCTGTAATTGGAACACTGGAAGTATATTGTGGTTGGAGGGTAAATATGGAGAAATGTTCAAGTGATTAGGATGTGCTTTCTCTAAAATATCCTTGGGACTTCCAAATGAATATCAAGTTAATTAGGCATTTGTGACTAAGAGGAATGAATATAAACTTATTCTAAGTTTTTGCTCTGTGAATTTTTTTAAATAAACAGTCTCCCCTGTGAACTCTGAGGACACAGTGCATTTTTTTTGTATTACTTCTGTGTATGATGTGATGATTTGTTCTCAATGCCCAATGGAACAACTTTGACTTTATCCTGCTGGGATACATTGGGAAATTAAGAAAATTTGAAGATGATTTAAAGAATCTGTTAGCCATGAAAGAAAAGATACTAAATCTCTTCATTTTCGAGTATCTAGGGGGAACCTGGCTCACAGATAATACTACTTTCCCATATATTTAACATAAATTCCAGAAAATGAGCACATTTCCAGTTACCCAGTATTTTACGGGAATTGGGTGAGAAAGCAGACTTCCAGGTTTGTAATCTGTACAGAATATTTTCATAAGAAATTAAATTTTTTAAAAGGATTTTGTAAAAATCAGCAATTAAAATGGAGACAGACACACTACAAATGGCAGTCTGAAAAATATATATCATTTGGGATTGTATTGCATCAGAAACACCCGTTGAAAATGTTCTCACTGATCAGCCAATGAAAGTAAAAAAATGAATAATGATAAGAAAATTTCATTGTAATCAGAGGATATTTTGTAGTGTGAAAGGTTTTCTTAATTAAGATATTATTATGCCACAGATCTTACATATTTAAAATATTTCTGAATTATGAATTCTGTCTTAAGTGGTAGTGGTCGATTCAAATATAATTTCTTCAAATTCATCAAATCATGTGAAGCTAAAGAAAGCAACTGCCACAGACTCCACTTGCCTCCAAGTCTTTCATGCTACTGTTAAGCTAAATAGTTATCACTGAATTATTATTCTGTCAAGTTAAAATTATTAATTCTAAGCTAAATTATATATCACAATAACTGAAGACAGTTGCAATAGTTATATCTGACCAAATATACCTTAGGGTGGAATTTTTATCTTACATTTTATTCTGATGTATGTTTAGGACTCTATATGTGTTTAAAAGTAAAAGTTCTCAAATGTTTTCTTATTTTTTGTTAGATAGAACAGAAAATCAAAAATCATTCCTTATACTGATACTCAATTCTTAGAGGAAAATTTGTTTTCCTTTTAAAGTTAATAGGAAAGCCAATTTCTGCACATTTTTGCACAAAAAAATGTTCTGATATTTGGATATAGGATAGCAATATTTATGCTTTTATTTATTCATTTTATTTTAAATTATTTTTCATATGAAAATTTTTGAAGTTTTTCCGAGACTAAAAACTATCAAAAAATCATTTTGTTTATACAATTTTAAAAGCAATATAAATCTTACATTCTAAACATGCTCACAGAACTCACACAGGGAATATTTTAATAAGAACATTTTTGAAGTTGAAAGATATCTAATATCTTTCTGTAAAATCCCTACACATATAATCATAGATAAGTTGGGAGTATTACAAACACACACACACACACACACACACACACACACATATATATATATATTCTCAATGCTAAAGTTTCCTTCCTATAATAGCAAAAGAAATATGAAAATATCCTAGAACTTATTTCTATATTTCTATTTAATTTTATTTTTAAGAAATTAAATTATTGTTTCTAAATTATTACATCACAAAATATTTTTGTAAAAAAGACAGTATCAGGATTCCATTGGTCTCAAGTTTATAAACTATTAACATGTTTGATACAATTCTTTCACCCACCACTTAATATCTGCATACTAATGAGAATATATACACATAGATATAATTTGTGTAAAATATTATTTATATGAGTCTGCATTTACCAAATTCCTAATTGGTTTTTCCTTCTTTCCCATCTGTCTCTCTCCATCCAAGTATGTACTCACATACCAAGAAAACTAGTATTATAAATATAATATATTTTATACATATTTTTTAAATTAAGAGGATATTTTAAAAATCATAGCCTCTTTGTCTACTGTGGGATTATGGCAAATTTTATTCCCACATAATTTAATCTTCAGAGATAATATTCATTGTGGTAATTCTCAATACAACTGACAGTAGTTCATTTTTGAATGCAGCAAGACATATCCACCTGATTCTCTTTTGTGTTCCTTTGCAAAAAATGAATTGCATATTCTTTGTATATCTGTTTTTATACAGTAGTGCTTAGATTTCTATAGTATAACTAAAAGATTGGTAGATTTATTAGTATATTTTATTCAAATAAATTGAACTATGTAAAGTTGTATCCCAAAGGTTGTTGCAATTAGTATTTCACAAGTAATATGGGAAAGCATCAATTTATTCACCTTAATGTCCAGTGAGCACTGGGACGTCTTTTACTTTATGCTAATCATATGCATGATAAGATGTGATGTGTGTTCATTTTCCTGTAGGTATATGCAGAGTACCCAGTAGGAATTTCATTCATTGTATTTCCAGATTATAACTGAAGTGCTCGCACAATCTGTCACATCAATTACACTTTCCAACTGTATGACAATGCATATTTGCTTATGTATTATTCCCTTTATGTTAGAATATATGATTTTTTCTAATCCCTTACTCACTTCCCTATTATACAATGTCTGGATATCTTGAATATTTAATCTTTAAACTTCAGTTTAACATCAAGATACACTCAACTGATCTTACTGATTATGTTCTTGGTAGGGGAACCTGTTTTACTCATGTGGATTTTAAATGAGATATGCAGTTTTAAATATGGAAAACACAAACTGCATTTTTAAGATTTAAATATATTTCCACAACTGGCTGGTGGTGGATTATGACTTTAATCCCAGCACTTGGGAGGTAGAGGCAAACAGATCTCTATGAGTTCAAGGCCAGCCTAGTCTTCAGAGTCACATCCAAGACCACCAGGGCAGTTACGCAGAAAATTTATGCCTGCCCCTGACAAAGAAAACAACAACAACAAAAAAAACAAAAAGGATTTCCACTAAAGACACATATTACTTTATGTGTATTGATGTTTAAATTTTTATTATGCAGAAATTCTAATGCATATTAAAGTAGACAATGACCAAATATTTAAAAGTCCTGACATAAGAAACATTCATTTGAAATATACTAGTGACAAGAATCAACAGTTTTATGGTTTTTGGAACTCTGTATTTATTGATTCTTTCATTTTAGTGACTGTGCATGTCAGACATGACAGAAAAAAACCAAACCTTTGTGACTGAGTTTATCCTCACGGGACTCACAGATCAGCCCACCCTAAAGGCTGCACTGTTCCTACTGTTCCTTGTCATCTACCTTGTGACCATGGTGGGCAATCTCGGGCTGATTGTTCTCATTTGGAAGGACTGTCACCTTCACACCCCTATGTACTTATTCCTCAGCAGTTTAGCCTTTGCTAACTCATGCACTTCGTCCTCTCTGACTCCCAAAATGCTTATCAACTTTTTATCTACGAATCACACGATATCCCTTGTTGAGTGTTTTGCTCAGTTTTACTTCATGGGTTCCAGTGCAACTACAGAATGTTTTCTGCTGTCTGTGATGGCCTATGACCGCTATGTGGCCATATGCAAGCCCTTGCTTTATCCAGTGCTGATGTCTAATAGACTCTGTACTCAGTTTATAGCTGTAATATACTTACTTGGTGTTCTGCACCTGGCAATTCATTTGGGTTTGTTATTTAGACTGACTTTCTGCAGATCAAACATTATACAATACTATTATTGTGAAATTTTGCAACTTTTCAGCATTTCTTGCATTGATCCTTCAATTAACATGTTTGTGCTTTTAGTATTTTCAATTTCTATACAAGCCTTCACCTTTGTAACCATCATGGTCTCATATGTCCGTGTCCTCTTTGCCATCGTGAGAAAGAAGTCTGAGAAGGGCAGAAGCAAGGCCTTCTCTACCTGCAGTGCCCACCTGCTCTCTGTTTCCTTATTCTATGGAACTCTTTTTCTCATCTATGTTTGCCCTGGGTCTGGACCAGTTGGAGACAAAGAGAAGATGCTTTCTTTATTTTATACAGTAATAATTCCACTACTTAATCCATTTGTTTACAGCCTCAGGAACAAAGAAGTTATAGGTGCCTTTAGAAGAGTAGTAAGAAAATAATAATTGTACAAATTTAAGACATTTCTCCCTCACATCATGTGAAAAATAAGATGACAAAATCAACAGAAAAAAAAATGAGTTCCTATGTACGGACCTGAAATCTGCCATTCTCCCGGAGGTACAGTATCCTCTGCTGGTGACAACTAACTTTGAATTTTGGGTCTGATACTCTGTTGGTTTCTTTCATAAGAGTCAGTAAAGATGTGATAGCACAACTCATAAACACCTTGTCTAGAAATAATATCGTCTGTTTTATTTGAGTTTTTTGATTTTAATGTTAGCTATTTTCTTTGTCATTTCCAAATTTTCAGATGTGGATTTTAAGTTTTACTAAGATATCCTGAGACACAATCGCTGAGACATAACTCTAATCTTCTTTGGCAAATATTATTAGCAACTTTAAGGAAGGAAAAGTTTACCCCTCTTTAATAAGGTTTTTAACCATTTACTACACTAAAAAACACTGTTAAAATCATAAAAATCCTCTATTTCATGATGGAATGCATTCTTCAGAAGAAATGTAGTATTGAATATCAGAAAAAAGAAACTACAATTGAAGATAAGATGGTATCAATGGATATGGAAAAAAAAAGAAGTAGCCATAACTTAAAATGTTCAAAATTTGTCATGTCTATATTTAGAGTCCAGTCTACCATTTTACCAATGATAGTGAATAATATTCAATAATTTATAATATTTATAATAATTTATGAAATTTAGTGCAGTGAAAAGCAATTCCATAAATTTTTGTGGTATTTACATTACTGTTGTTTCCAATTTTAGTAAGAGTTCAAAGTGAAATTTGCAAGATTGTCTGACACCTAAAATTAAAGAAATACAAAGTTGTGCTAATGAATTCTCAACTATAGATAAATAATGATCGCAGGCACACATCAGAGGTAAATTAATTGATAAGACACTAAACAATTTTATATTTTAGTTTAGATAACTGTTATTTTGGAGACATAAGTAATTAATTATTTTTAAAAAGATTATATTCTTTCATTATATTTATTTGTGAAAAATAATCATATCAAAAGAATTAGCTTTAACTTGTTGGACTACTAACAGATATGCCTTGTTCTACTCGTTGGAAGCAGCTTATCTTATGTATGTCAGTGGCAACAGCAATACTGAATGTTTCCTATAAAGATGTTAACTGTATGATGTCTATATTTAATTACTTAACCCTAATGAAAATGCACATTATTAGGAAAAAGTCAACTTATGTATCTAAAATAAATACCCTTATTTTCTCTTTGACAAAAGTCCTTTAAAAATATACTACACAACTGAATTCATTTTAAAATTATTTGCTCACAGACATGGTGGTCCATTAGTTTAATCCCAGAGGCAGAGGTTGGCAGCTCTCTGAATTCAAGGCCAGCCTGGTCCACAGAGTAATATTTCAGGACAGCTAGGGCTGTACAGAGAAACCCTGTCTTGAAAAATCAAAAGATAATGTATTTGCATGTACGTCTAATTTAAAATGTTGAATATTTTCCTAACATTGCAATCTGTTTCCTTTCTTTTTAACTGTGATTTAACATATTTTAATTGGAGTACCAATTTGACATCTATGTTACCAAAAATCTCTTTCTTTCTCTTTTGAAACAGTTCTTGTTTCTCTGTGTAGTCCTGGCTGTCCTGGAACTCCATCTATAGACTCTGCTGGCCTTGAACTCAGAGATTTGCCTGTCTCAGCCTCCTTAATGCTGAGACTAAAGGCATGTGCCACTACCAACCAGCTCAAAAAGTCTTTACCTTTCCTGAAATTATACCAATTAACTCTGTTTTTAAAAGCACTTGTTACTCTTACAGAATACCTGGGTTCAGTTCTCCACGTCCACTCTACAACTCCCAACATCCTGTAACTCTTGGAGATCACAGATCTTGTTCTTATTCCCATGAGCACCAAGCGTGCGTGCAGGTAGATACTCATCCACCCTCCCATTAGCACCAAGCACACACATAGCACACATATAATCATGTAGGTAAATACTCATCCACACTCCCCTCAGCACCAAACATGCACATGGTACAGCAGTACACATACAATCATTCAGGTAAATACTCATCCACACTCCAGTTAATACCAAGCATGTGTATGGTACACATGTAATCATGCAGGTAAATACTCATTTACCCTTCCAATAGCACCAAGCATGCACATAGTACATGTACAATCATGTAGGTAAATACTCATTCATACACAAAAAGTAATTCTTTTTGAAATTTACAAGTATAATTATGCCATAATTCATTGAACAAAAATAATCAGATACCATATTACTTCAAAGAGAAAAGCTTAATTATTCACATGTAATTGTGGCTTGACTTGTAAATGGGGCTATTATGGCAAATTGTGGGGATTATCAATGAAACTTAGATGATAGATTCAAATCCTGATATAGGTATCTAGAGTATAAGCACAAGAGATGAAAGGACATTCAGTGAATTAATTATACTGTATTGTATTATAAACAAATTGGATATTATCCATTAATTATCATTAATAATATAAATGAACCATTATCCAGGATGATACTCTGAAAACTGAGAAATAATCATCATTTTAATAATAATATAATTATTAAAAAATAATGCAATACTTATGTCCTTGTGTAGTCTCATATTCAATGAATGTGAGAGAGCCCACTGGCTGTCTCTTTAACTTTAAATTTAGTCTTTGAGAATTTTATACACAAGTAATATATTTACATCATTTTCACCCTTAACTTTCTCTCCTCCTCCTGTATCCCTACGAATTCCACTCATTTCATGAACTTTTATATGATTATAATTGCAGTATGTATATACACACACACAAACACATACACACTTGAACCTATTTTTTTCTTATATATATGGGTTTACAGTTGGTCACTTGTGATTGGATAACCTATTAGTGGGCTTAACTTTACAAACAACTGGTTGACGGACTTAGCTTCCACCTGCTGAAGAAAGATGTTTCACTGCTGAGGGTAAGAGTAATATCTATTTGTGAGTACACAAATAAGAATTAAGAATGCAGTTTGAAATTATATTGCTATAGGAAACTTAAAGTAATTGACTCTCACCTAGAACCTCTATTGTCTACAGCCACAGGTTGTTGGCTAAGTTTACAGTACTGGGCAGAAGTTCCATCCTGAGTGGGCCTTATTTGTATTCATCTACATGAACATTGTTTACCCTAAAAATAACACTAATGCTATTTTGTCTTTGTGAGCATCTTCCTGGTTGGACATTGTTTGAAGCTTTTAAATTTGGGTAGGATTATTGATCTTTTTTCTCCTCTGGCAACTTTTATAGTACCTTCAGGACCTCTGTTTATTTGGTCTTAGGTAGGAGTCTTGCAGGTCACTTTCATCTGGATTCCTTGTATTTAAAGTGTGTTTTTATTTTAGCAATGGGGTCTTATCTTTAAGTTCTGGGATGCAATCAAGGACAGTGGCAATAGTGCATATTGTTTGGTGAATCTCTTTGACACCTTCCCCTCAACAGCACAAAGGGAGATTTCTAAGCCTGAAACTGGATCTTCCATCAGATAGTCTATGGCTCTTGAAAGAACCATTATGGCCTCATGTAATGTCTTTCCATTTAAACTTTCCCCATAGCCTTTTCAAGTACCCTAAGGGTTAGTTATCTCTTTTTTTCTCTCTCTTTCCCTCTGTATTAACCTCAAACTCCTCTCCAAAGTTGTCATTTCTCTCCTAGTTTTTTTTTTAATTTCCCCTTCATAGCTCCTGTGTCCCATTATCCTCCTTTGTAGAATTCTTCTGTTTTCCCTTTTTCCCCATGGTCTCCATTTACCTTCCTGGCTTCTGCAGTTATCAGGATAAATACTCAAATCTAAAGCCTGTGAGCCAAGATCTGCAAAGAGAGAACATGTTTTGCATTGCCTCACTCACTACAATATTTTCCTATTTCATTACTTTCCCTGCAAATTTCAGGATCTCATTGTTTTTCTCAGCTGAGTAGAACTTATTGTGTATGTGTACCATATTGTTATTATCCATTCATCAGTTGAAAAACTTCTAAGTTGTTCCCAACTCTGTTGAAGATTCTCAATTTCCTATTGGCCTTTCCACTATAAACTAATCAGCTTTAGCAACAACAAAACCCTTTCATAGATATAAAGCATGAAATGTTTTCACTAAATTCAAGTAGAATTTACAAACCCTTCCATCTCAGAATATTCTGTCTGAACTAACCTGTTCATATGTTCTGGTCAATTAATATATATATGTCCTTATTCCAAAACATAGAAGAATACCAATTTCTTAAATTTATGTTTTAAAATTATCTTTTCTCATTTTACATGCCAATTCCAATTTCCACTCCCCACCTCTGCCCGCTCCTTCCGCCATACACCTTCCCCAGACACTGATCCCCATTCACCCCTCAGGGAGGGTAGGGCTTTCCATGTGGAGTTAACAAAATCTAGCTCATTGCTTTGAAGCAGAACCAAGGCTTCTCCATTATATGTAAGCTGAGTAAGTTATACCTCCAAAGAAAATGGGCTCCAAAGAGCCTATTAAAGCAGTAGGGATAAATTCTGATCTCACTACTAGTGGCTCAACATACTGACCCAGTCATACAACTGTCATCCACATTCAGAGAACCTAGTTTGATCCTATGCTGTCTCTCACTGTTAATATGGAGTCAGTCAATGAGCTCCCATTAACTCAGGTAAAATGTTTCAGTGGGTATCCCCATTATTGTGTTGACCCGTTTTCTCAACTTATCACTCCTGCTTCTCTTTGACTGAACTTTGAGAGCTCAGACCAGTGATTCACTGTAGATATCTGCATCTGCTTCCATGACTTTCTGGATAAAGGTTCTATGATGAAAATTAAGGTATTCATCAATCTGAATACATGGAAGGCAAGTTCAGGCACCTTATTCACTATTGCTTAGAGTCTTAGTTGGGGTCATCCATGAGGATTCCTGAAAGTTCCCAGGAATTCTCTAGTGCCAGACCCAAAATGACTCTCTCA